TACGGGGGAGTGTGGGTTTTGTGCTACCCAGTAGGACAGGGAAGGGAAATGGAGGTGAGGTCTGGGTCGGAGCTGGGATGTCAGCAGGTCGGTGAGAACTGGTTGGTACTGCTCAGAGAGGGCGTGGGGTTTCATGAGGCGGTCACTTTTAGTAGCCTGGACAAGAAATAATCAGAGCATGAAATAAAGTCAGCTCAGCTGTGGTGGGAGGAAGGGGGGAGGGCTCAAAAGCGGCCATGTGATTTATTGTCTGAGCTGGGATTCATGGAGAAGGCAGGGGGCCTTCTTCAATGTTACTCCTGGCCAACAGACACGGACCGCAAGTCTCCTGGGGAAACCAGGTGTACGGTCACCTGGATACTCGATGGGGAGGCCTGGACACTGGATGGGGAGGCCTGGCTGAAGGGCCAGGGGGTGAATCTAAGTGGAGCCTCTCCTTTGGCTGGAATGAGCACTTAGCAGTACTTTGATTAAGAAAGACTGGAAACATGAGATTGCAATGTCTTTCCTGGGGAGGATGGAATCTTGGGTTTTGTGTGTTGAATCTGACATAACTGGGTGACATGCAGGAAAGGCTGATAGGCAGCTAAGCATACTCTGTGCTCAGTGACAGCTGTGAAGTGGAAGCCTGACTGGCTGTGGCCACAGTGCTCACTGACCACTGTCGGGGACCTGCAGACATGGGCTGGTTTCCACTGGATCACACGGTTACTTACTAGGAATTGGGGACAAGCCATGCTCTAAATAGAGCTTCATTGTTTTCCAAAAAGTCACTTTTCTTAAATTGTACCCGTCCCCATTTCCCATTTTATTTGAAAGTCAAGTGGTCGTATAAATTGTAGCTGAACTCATTCTCTGAAAGCAAGTGGGGGAGGGAAGGAGGTTGTTGAAAGCTCTCCCAAGTCCAGAGTAAAGCAAAATGGAGAGTGTGTATTCCAAACAGATTCTGCATTTTCACTCCTTCCAGAAACCTCTATGTATTCACCATATGATGTACAGAATTCCAAACCAGAGTTTTTACCAGATATGATGTTTATAATTAGCACAAATGCAGAAAAGGAGTTTCTAAACTGGCTCACAGTCCTGCTGGTATATAAGAGCTCACTCATAACTGAGAAAATAAGAGTGAATTTGAATGGGCATTCATCCAGTCAAGGCTCT